CTCCGGAAAGATAAATAAGAACTGAAGCAAGGATGTGCCTATGCCCCAAAAACAGAAACTTTGAGGTGTGGATTACAATACCCATCCCCACGAACAGTCCCTTTAAAAAAATCCTGTTTATTAAGATTGTGCATGTTTATTAAGATTGAGTAACAAAGATGGGACCCCAGCTGACTAGGTACTGTACAAAAGAAAGTATGAGTCACTGCTACAATTTCCAATTTAAATCAAAATCTCTTCTAAATCTAGCTCCTTCCCCCATGACCTCTAAAATCCATTCACAGTGTATTAGTAGGCTATAATACTCCATTCATGGCATTAAGCAACATAAAACCAGCAAGGTGATTAAATGATGAGAAATAATTCTAAATTCCTCAATTAACTATAAATAAGAGGCCGCATGGCAATGCCTTTCTTTTTTTGCAAAAAGGGCTATGATCAGTCGGCACAACTTTGGAATTGCCTCATGTTAGAATGAGAACTGAAATCTGCTACTACTCTGTTTTAGTTTCTCTCAGGCTACACATCAATAGGTGAAGAGTACTGAAAGAATTTGGAAGCTTTGGTTGCTTTCACAGAATCAAATGTAACTAACAAATCGACTGATGCTAGAAAAGTCATCAACTACAAGGGAAATAAAACCTGGGGCAAAGTTTCTCTTCACTTTATTATACAGCCTCTGATGTACCTATTTCATGTTTTTGACCTTCATAAATCTTCACAATGCAGTGAAGCTGACCTTTCAAATTGCAAGGGTCTTTTTATAGCAGAGATACCATTTGCTACTGAAGCAAAGTCTAATTAGTAATTAGAATGAATTATATACAATTTGGCCCCACAATCCCCATTTAAGATGGTGTAGGATAGTGATTCTCAACCAGGATGCCATAGGGGGGCAACACAATGTTAGCACTGTTAGGTTTACAAACATGATTTACAAAAAAAGCTGGAGCTTTCAAATAGAAATCCAGAGTTCTGGCCTTTCTGAGTTCTTTGCGACAAAAAACTGCTCTATTATTTTTATGTAGGTAGAAAAAAGTGAAAACTAAAAGCTGGCATTTTCCAAGTGTTTTCTTGAGTCTATCTAGGGATGTCTCAAGTCTAAAAAAGTTGAGAACTGCTCATGTAGCATTACAGTTTAACTTGTGCAAATGCAAAAGCGCACACATCCCAGAGAGACACTGAGATCTTAATGACACCCGCACCTCCTGTAAAAAACATGGCAACCCTGGTATTCTGAATTCTACCAGGCACATCACAATCCAAACCTAATTTAGGATGCAGCTCCTTTGACCTAACAAACAAGAAAGGATGGGTAGAATTTGGGCTTTAAGAGTAAAAAACAGCAAAACTCTGTGCTTTATGGAGGCCAAAATTTGTACTGGCAAAAGGGCATACACTTAATGGCACGCGCTTCAGGTGCCATGCAGATCCAAGAAGAGACATACCAAAGACTTCAACCTAGGAACTATGATCTTAATAACTGCTCACCCACTTCAGAAAAGACTTGTAGGTATTAAACAGTGTATATGAAGTGTCTTGAAGAATTAAAGTACTAGATAAGTGGTAAGCATACTTTAAACAAGAAGAATCTTTGGGCCAGGGTGGTTGTTCCTTTATTCTACATTCATTTAAGGTGGAAGCACATCTTAAATTTTAAGATGAATTGAATTTGTTCTTAATGAAAGTGAACTCTTATGTACTTATATGCAACAGATACAGCTCATGATACTGCCCAGGCTTTCTCCATCCATTGACCCCCACCAACATGGACCCACTCCTGAGCTGGAAAGATTACCTGTAGCTGTGTAAGAGGTATATTTAAGTGTCACGGGCTCTTAAGTCTTTGGCCTCTGAGCACTCCTATCTGCTACATGCATTCCCATTGGTAAGGAACTAAACTGATACTTGTCAACTAATTTTACAGACTGGGTACAAAAAGTAATCTTTTGGTTTCTACTCATCTGATCCATATTTGAACCTGCAGCCTAAGAGACAGAAGGTTCATTCTATCACAAGGTTCCAACCAGAGTTCCAATTACACTTTGACATTTGGGGGCTTCTCCAGGGTTGGATCTGTGGGGCTGAATTTGGGCAGCAGCATGCAACCAGGAGTGCACAGCTACACCGTGTTGCGTTCAGGCAGCATGGAGTCTGGGGCGTGCATTCATGAAGAGCCAGGACTGTGCACCAGCATGGCACTCTGGCCAGACAGTGGCACAGAGCTGGCGGCATACAGCTGCACAGAGCCACGTTCATGCAGCCTCACACCTCCAACTCGATGTCGCTGCCCAGAAACACAGGGCTCTAGCCGGTCAGCAGTGCCAGGGACATACAACAGTGAGGAGCCAAGGGGCAGTGAGCTTCTGGTAGCCCAAAGGACTACCAGTGGACTGGATGCAACAGTTCCATGGGCCACATACAGCCCACAGGCCATATGTTTGACATCACTGGTCTGTCCTTCAACATCTACCCATCCTCCATGGCCAGAAATGCCTTCTTTCACTGTCAGCTGAACCTTTTCAGTTAGATGCAGTTCTCACTGCTTGTCATGTGTGCCTTGATCAGTTTTGGTCCAGACTATCATATAACCCTTTCTACTTAGAGATAGACTACATGGTGACCTAGTTAGCAAAACACCCAACTCCCAAACTTCTATCTAAAGGATACTGCACTAGGTCTGTACTCACTGCCAATTCATTGTTAGGAATAATTAATGTTCTTGCTTATCATCTTTGATGTCATTAAAGCTTCAAGTGTACTCATTCTTTACATGCCCCTTCCACTTAAAGCTGGCAAAAATGTTTGTGGCCTGGTGTTTGCAGTGGCATGGTGTCAGTTTTGCAATTCATACCCACAAAAGGTCTAACAGATCCTACAACTTTCCATTCTCACACCTTATTTTTCCATCTGCACCAACTGTGTGGGCACAATTTAAACAGAAACAACTCCCTGATTATTCACTTCTTGCCACAGACACCACCATATAATACAAAACAAACCCAAGATTTTGTGGGTCTCACACTAGTAGTTCATCCAATAAAAGATAACGCAAAACAAACAAACAAAAAGCCACTTGCCTCATGGAGCATTAAAGACATTTTTTTAAAATGGTGCATCTTGGATATGATGATTGATGTTTTCTCTTTGTCTCTGACTTCTTAATGATGGGAACATGACTTTCTCCAGAACACCACACCACAGGATATATGGTTGTGACAACTGTTGTTCTTGAATACATTCACCATGCTTTATCTGTACCAGTATATTTTTTTAATCCCAAATAATTGTTTCACAGACTTCACAATTATCATGCCAATGTAAATGTATGTCAAATTCTTCTAATTTCTACAAGGATTCTGCCCATAACCCCAGTTCATGCTGCCAAAATGGGATGAGTTTTGTCACACAGGATGCAAGTTCGCTGAATCAGAACTCCTAAGTGTAGGGTTAGATACATCTTTGCTATTCTGCTTGGATGGAGAAGAAACAATTTATTTTCCAGTTCCCATTATGTAAGAAGATGCCTTGAAAAATCTATTTTTAGTCCTTCTAGCTGAAGGAAACAAAGAAACTGATTTATCCATGACTCTGACATCTCTCAAACAAAGATATGAGCTGACACTTCTGTATTTTCATGAAACATGGATCCAAGCCTTACAGCTTGAGGGGTTCATTAAATGTAGCTGTTTCAGAGCCCTGATGAGAACAGCCCTTCCATTCATTTTAGTGAACTTGTTTTCAAAAGGATTTTGAGACCTTAAAGGAAAACACATTTATCCAGCTGCACGCAATTCACTTCCTCTCACCTACTATTATGGAGCGACTGTAGTTTTTCATGACATCTGCAGTCTGCAGACAGAGACTTACGGAACTGAAACTGACTGAACATCTCCAGAGCAGAGGAAGAATTTTCTTACCTAGTTTCATGCACAGCAAACACAGGAGCCTAGAGCTGATCTGAAGCTACAAACCCCCACCAAAAAATTAGGTGGATATAATGAATCGTATCTTTTTCAGCTATGTTGTGCTTCAGCAAGCATTCTCATTCAAAGACATATCCCCGGGACCAGTATTGCCTTATGGATAAAGAGGATCCTGTCGAACTGCATAATTTAAAGGCCCGATTTGGAACAGTAGCGGGCACAAAGAAACCATTTTGCACGGGAGGACTAATTCATTGTGATTCTCCCAGGTCGTCTTGACATTTCAGAGGGGATCACAGATGAAGTTCCACGATCAGTTTACATGGGAAGTGTCTTCTTGTTGCCGATTTTCCCAATTCGCCAATACTTGTTTTGCAGTGTTATTATAACAACACTAAGCAGCGTGATGCAGCTGTGCATGTGCAGCAGGGAAGGGAATCTTAACTGCACATTTCCTGCTTCTTTAGGGAGTTAGAGGGATTCAGCGCTTGTGCTCAGAAAGACACAATGAGCCCCAAGAAAGCTTTTTAGCAGTTGCACCCACAGCTCCACATTAACCAAGTTACTCTGGCCCCGGCAGAGGTGCAATTACAAGTGCAACGGGATCGGACATGCAATCGTGCGTGGCGAAAAGCATGACTGTGGGTCGGAGCAGCAGACCCCATCACGCCACGCTGCTGGGGCAGGGCGAGTCCAGGATCCTGATCCCCCTGCACCAGCAATGAGGCACGAGGGGATCTGGTGCTCCATCAGCATCCTGGGCTCCCCCTGCGCCAGCAAGCATCCCCCGGCTGGGAGCTCCCAGGGGCGGGGGCACAGTGCAGCCCGGCTCCAGCCCCGGCCTAGGGGTCCAGCACAGCCCCGGACTCCAACACCCCCCGGAGCCTGGCAGCAACAAAAAGGGTTGCTGGGCGTCCAGGGCCCCTCTGCGCTCGGGAGGCCGGGAGCCGCCGGCCGGGCCACGAGAGGAGCCGGCCACAAAGTTCCTCCACACGCCGGGCCCAGGGCCCTCACGCCTCCTCGCCTTCCTCCGCAGCCGAAGACGCATTGTGGGGCGGGGCGGGGCGCACTCACCGGCGGAGGTCAAAGGGCATGGTGGTGGCGGGGCCCCGGCCCGGCTCTGGGTCCTGCGCGTGCCGGCTGCAGGGCCCGGAAGTGACGCGTCCTAGAAGCGCGACCCCATTGGGCGCTCGGCGCCGCTTCCGCTGCCCCCTTAAAGGGACAGGCGGAGCCACACGAGCCCACGTGGAGCAGCGCGGGGGCGGCACCGCCGGGTCTCGGAGGCCGGCTCTGAGCTGGGGCCGGGGCGTGGCGCCCAGGAGATCTGGGTTCGTGGAGAGTCCTGAAGTCCAAAGGGCGGGCAGGCAGAATGGAGGCTTCAGGTTTTGTTTTGTTGGGCAGATGTTGCGCTGCAGGTGTCTGCGCGGCGTGCGAGGCCAGCGCAGCCCGTTCCCCTCCTGGAGACCGGTATCCTAGTGGGACCACAGTGAGCAACCAGACACGTGCCTGTGTCCAGAGATGTCTTTCTGCCGTCCCACAGGGCTCCTCTGGACGCCGGCCCGAGCGCAGTCTGGCTCCCACCGTCATTCCCCCACTTGCAAATCTCTTGGCCCGTCCATTGTCATCAGAAAATGGAAGCAAGGAGAAGTTGAAGTGTCCAAAATAACTTGAGTATCTTTGGTTCAGTGTTGGGACAGATGCTTTTGCTGCTTGCATCTTTAGCATTGGCAACACCACCATTGGCACGTGCACCCCCTGAGCATGGCGGTGCACCCCCTGCGAAAAGGCGCCACCTACACTTCAGTATAAAAAAGGGTTGGCTGCCGGTCCGCAGTATGCCGGTCACTTCTGCCCTTCCAGTCTGGCAGCTGACCCTCCTGTGGACCGGCAACCAACCCTTCACAGCCTGGTATCAGGCTGCGGCCTGGAGGTTGGGAACCTCTGTCCTATGGTTTAATTTCTAGGGCTTTCTTCATCTTAGCTTAAATCTCTCCTCTAGAGGGCTCAGGACAAGCGTAGTAGCTTCTTCACCTGGCAGGGGAAATGCCATGTATCTGTGTCCAAGAAGGCAGTTTTTCTGAACTGCTTTGCAGGAGAGCTGTTCTTCTGCCGTGGTTCAGAACCCGCCAAGGTGCAACGGCTTTAAGCCCAGTTTATGGAAGTGGGAGTCTCCTCCCCAGGTTGCTCCTGGCACCCTATGGCTGAGGGCAGGCAAAATTTAGGGGCATCTGAACCCCAAGCCTCTGGGCTTGGGCCTGCAAGTAGGATGCTGGCCAAAGATTTTGGAAACATCTGAAGCCCCAGGTGTGGATAGAGGATGTTTGCCAATATTAGGGTCACTTATGATCCTGGACACTTGGAATTAATTTTGACTATTTTTGGATACAAATTATTTAATAAAATAAATCTCAAGAGAATTTTAATTCTTTCCTTTAGAAGGCTATTGCACAGACTAACAGATCTGAGCTTTAGGGCACTTTTCTGTTTGTTGGCTAAATTTCTCTTGTTTCCAGTCATAGCCTAAGTTTCCAGGTGAACTACCAGAGAAAGAACAGAAAGAAGCGGACTCACAAGGCGGGGGGACAGTGACAACAGCTGGAAGAAAAAGAAGTGGTTCAATCAACAAAGCGACCAGTGTCATGAATGTGCTATCTGTAGCATTCTGTCATTTTCCTCTTTCCGTCACACTTCTTGACTAACAAGGTATTTTGCCTGTAGCCATATTTCTTTTCTGTGCTGTAGCATAGACAGTAGGTATGATGGATCCTGGCCATAGCAGTTATTATAGTTTGTCTGCAGCAAAAAGCCATTAGCAGAAGCCACTAGTTTGATAACAATGCAAGTGGGAAGCTGCTCATGGCTATACCATGTATGACTTGTACACTTGGGTTTATCTTTATACAAATTCATTTTGTGCAAATTCGTTTATATGCGACGACTAGTCTATCCCAGAAACTCGCTTTGTGCAAGAAAATTTCAGTCTTGTGTGAAGAAGCATGCAACGCGGCATGCAGTGATGTGAGTGAAGCATTGTGGGAAGGTGAGTGAGGCGAGTATGCGATTCCATCACACACTTGCCTCAGTCTCTCATTGTCCATTGTTCTGTGCAGCAGTACGCTACTTGCACTCATATTGTGGTGCATCTATTTGCCTTTATTATTGAATTTAGTGAAATGTTGTCTAAGTGACCTTCTAGTGCATCTCCTAACCCCGCTCCTGAGCCAGCCATGAAGCAAAAAAGGAGGCTGGTATGGATCCCTATTAATTGCAGGTAATAATGGAGTTGCTTCTTGCGAATTTGCTTTATGCAAGGATTTTTTGGAATGCAACCCACGCATAAAGAGACCCGAGTGTAAATCAATAGTGGGTGGTCAGTAAGGAGCACTGTAATCGGCCACTAAATTTCATGAACGATGTGTGCCTCAAGTGGCTGGGAGGGGGGCGCGGCGGTGCTGGCGGTGGCAGGAGCGCAGCAGCGGTAAGCAGGGAGCTCCCACAGACACCACTGGCAGTGTTGGCAGCAGCCAGCGGCGATTGCTGGCCGCCTGCCGGCAGCAAGGAGGGAGGGGGTGGCGAGCGGCGGCTGAGAATAAAAAAGGGTTGGCTGCTGCGCTGCAGTATGCCGGTCACTTCTGGAATGCAGTTGTCCACGATCTAAAAAGGTTGGGAGCCCCTGCTGTAGGAGACAGTCCTGCAGATGCCTGAGAGAATGGGTAGCATTTGCAAGGATCTGAGGGAAGAAAGGTTGATTACAAACAGCCAGCATGGATTTATGAAAAACAAACCAGATCTCCCTTGACAGAGTAACTACTTGGGTGGATGAAGGGAATGCTGTAGATATAGTATATCTGGACTTCAACAAGCCCTTTAACAAGGTTCCACATGCCTTTCTCATAAACAAATTGGAGAAAATGTGGGCTGGATAAAGCTACTATAGGGTAGATAGATAACTGGCTCAGGCAAGCAAAGGGTAATTATTAACAGGTCCATGTCAGAATGGCATGAGGTTCTGAGTGGAGTTTTTAAGCTTTCCCAGAGGCACTGGGTGTTGACTTGGGGACTTTGAAAGGGGTGTACCAATGCTCCTGCTAGGACCAAAGCCAGAGGTTCCTGGCTAGAGGTTCTTTCCTCTCTGCTGGGGGTCAGACTAATCGCCATATTTGGGACCAGGAAGGAATTTTACCCCATGTTCAGATGGTGGGGAGGGGTGCCTCTCCTGTAGCAGGGGTCATGGCCTCTACCAGGGACCTCTTGCGTGTATATTGACAACATTTCATAGAGGCAGGACATTGTCTGCCATGGTTCCCCTGCTTTGCCTGTGTCAGATTAGGGTGCTAGGTTATGTTGTGTCAGGTTTGATGGTAGTCTTATACAGAGTTTAGATTATGCTTTGTATGGGATGGTTTGGATAGGGATCAGGCAGGGGGTTGGACTAGATGATCTCTGGAGGTCCCTTCTAGCCCTACTTCTCTATGACTGATAATATTTCAGAGGGGTTTTTTTGCATCTCATCAGGCACCTACAATATCTGATTGCATCAATAGAATTTTTTGCTAAATGATCAGCAGTGAAATAGTTAACATGCTCAGTATTATGTTTCAACGTTTAAAAAGCAGTTGGAACCAATGAGGCTATTCCCAGCTTTCATGAGGTCTAACCAGTTACATAGACATGGTTAATGATACCCATCTACAGGGTAATAAAAACCAAAGTTGATCAAGTTACAGGAAGACGAGCATGGGGCAGCCTAGGCTACAGGCAAGGCTGAAACACTGCTAGCTGCTATGCTTATCCAGTACCATTAGTAGTGGTTGCCTGAGGTCATAAACCATATTACGAGCCAAGCAAATCTAAATTAGTTACAAATTCCCTTAAAATTGTAATGTAGTCAATAGCTCAGGCTGCAGATTCAGGAATATAACACAGCAGCAGGCCACGCTGCAAAAAGTAAAATCTAATTTTGAAGAAATGGATAGACTCTGGGATCAGTGCCAGATTGGCTTTCCAGCTTGATCCAACTTATAGCCATGCCAAGACAAGAAGGTAATGCCTTGAGATAAGACCCTCATCGTGACATTGTTTAATTACATAAGGTTTTTAGAAAGCCTGAGATAAGAACAGGAATTTGACTGAAGTCCAGCTGGGTGTGGTTGCTTAGATCACACTGTGTATTAGTATGAGAACTGAAAGAAAGAGTTTACTTGAGGTCACTGTAGTATAACTGGAATAAGTAAAATGATACTGCTATCTGGATTGGAGAGTTAACTACTTTTCCACATAGAATTAATACATTACTAATCTCTGGTGGTGGCAAAGCTAATACAATGTAGTGTTTCTCTTCAAAGTGCTTTGCTAACAATTGATCCTCACAATTCCTTTGAAGTAAGTAAATATTAACATTACTGCTTTACAAGTAAAGAAACCAAACTAGAGGGGTGAAGTGACTCACTTAAGACCACAGAATTGGGTTAGCTTTAGATTAGTAGTCAGGAGGCTCCAAATTTTAGTGTCACCCTCTCAATGAAATAAGTAACACATTCCATGTTCCTGATCACTTCCTTAGAGGGGAAACAGGTCATTTATGATTCAATCTAGATTCCTAACCAGTATCTCATCGATAAATGATTAAGAAATAGCAAGCGAAGGCAAGCTCTTCCAAGATGAATTCTGTATTGATCCATGCCAGCAGCCAAGAAAGGGAATTTGTTTTGATGCTCCACCCTGGCAAAATGGTGTATCCTGTTTGATACCACAATTCCCCGATAGATAAAATCACCTCTTTTTACTGACAGGAAAATTGAGACAGAGGGGCAAGAAGAGACTTGGAGTTTATAGACTCTCAGATATCTGCGTGTCTCCCAAGCTAGCTTGCTTCTCATTGTAGTCATTGAAGTTAGAGAAAGTAAAGCCCTGTCTTTCTCTTTTGTGGGATTGTTCCCTGCAGCATATTTTCTAGCCTTTGACATAGTGTAGATTTAAGAGTCCTAATGCTGGTGCTTCTTGGGGAACTGTTCCACAGCCAAATAAGGCAAATATATCTATTTTATTGTTTAAAAACTTCCTAATATTCAGCCTATATTTTTAAAATTCTTTTTCCTACTGGAGTACCACACTACATAATTCTAGGATTGCACTGAGTAATTCTTAGGGGCTAGGTCCTAACCTGTTACACAACATTACTTGTTTTAAATGGAGCTGTG